ATTTAAAAGTTATTGAATACAACGGAACGCATTGCCGGACATAATATAGGATTTTATTGTTGGAAACTATTTATTATAAACAGTTTCCGCGGATATGAAGTAAATATTTATTAATTACTAATAATATATTTATTTAATTACATTTTTGTTTATTTACAGATTATATCATATATAGCAGTATTTTACCTCAAAGTCGCTTGATGTTATACCTTATTTATTATTATGGTGAATTTGTTTATTACATCAAATTTCTTAATAATTTAAAAGTTATTGAATACAACGGAACGCATTGCCGGACATAATATAGGATTTTATTGTTGGAAACTATTTATTATAAACAGTTTCCGCGGATATGAAGTAAATATTTATTAATTACTAATAATATTGATATTAATTACTAATAATATTTAATTACATTTTTGTTTATTTACAGATTATATCATATATAGCAGTATTTTACCTCAAAGTCGCTTGATGTTATACCTTATTTATTATTATGGTGAATTTGTTTATTACATCAAATTTCTTAATTGTAAATTTTCTAAATATGTACAAATAATTTGTTCGGTCATAGAATTCAAATAACTTTTAGACAATAAAAGATAATTAGATTCTGTAAAAAGTATATATAAGTGTCATATCCGCGTTTTTGCCTAATACCCTACTTATTTATTTTGGTCACGTGGTATACTTGATACTAGACAATTTCAAATCAAATGTTAAATGTCAACGTTGGGTTACAAAATGTTTGTAAAATAGTTGAACGTATTTTTTTAATATTAGCATATTTTAATCATGTAATGCCAATTATTCTAATAATATAATTGTAATAATAATATTTTTGAATATTTATATTAACATTTAAGTTAAAATCATAGAAAATATGTTTTTTCACATTTTATATAATTATAATTTAATTGCAAGTTAATTCACAATATTATGGAATATTATGTCAAATAAATTAAATAAGAAATTACACATTTAGGTTAAAACACAACCTAACAAATAGGTTACAATTTAAAACTTAATAATCGTAAATAACTAATGGCTAAATAATCTTGAATAAATTATACCGTACTATAAATATGGTAGCATTTCTTTTTAATTTAAAATTTATTTAAAAATTTAATAAAAACTAAAAATTTGTAATAACAACCGGCAGATTGCAGTGCAAATCAAACGAACCGGAAATGTCTAAATACACGTCGAGCTCATGGGTGGCGCTGATTATTGGACACGTGTTGTGCAACACTAGGGCTGTGACGGGAACCTGAATCGAAAGCGTTTCGGTCGAAACACTTTTGGCTTCAACATTGGGTCCGACCGCATAGCTTATAGTATCAGTGCTGATCTTTTTACCCTCTTTAGTGGTGTAAAGTACGCTCTCAATCAACGATGCCTTCAATGTCATAGCCTTTTTGCTCTTGTTCTCCATAAAGCACGTCACCTCTATATTGGCCCCCGTGTTGTGTCCGCTGCGCGCGATATCAGCCTTCAATGTTAACCCCTTTCCGCCAAACACTTTTAGCCCGACAGTTTTTTTGTTCGATTTACTCACCGGCGACTATATACAAAAGTAACAAGGTACATGTGCAAGTTTTAATTTTATTATTTTTTTTTGTAAAGCGGATTTTTCCGGTGAATATTTACGGTAATATCCTGGCTAGTTGGCAACGCTGGCGAAATGATTTCAATGGGCAGGGTTGTTTTCTCGTCGCCAGAGAATAGTGCCGACTTTTTTACGCGACATTTAATGTAATATTCAATTTTTCCGTACATTCCTTTAAATGATGGTGGAAGTGGTCTATGAAATGAAATAGGGTGGGGTTAGGTGTTTACATCGTGGTAAAATATTTGACAACCAACTTGTAAAGTATGTTATATTAGCTCTCTCTCTCTCTCTCTCTCTCTCTCTCTCTCTCTCTCTCATTTTCTAAAGTTTGCGTTTTTATAAAATAATCACAAACATAATACTGGAACACATTTTTGTTATTTGGTATGTGTTAAAAAATATACACTCAAACACCCAACTTTCCAATTATTACAAATAATTACAAATAACTTATTATGATACATCTTATTGAACAAAATATACAGTTTATAATTATATATTATATTGCATAAAATAACCACGACTATCATGTCCATTATCACACACGCATACTGTGTAAATTAACGGTGCCCAAAATTTACTTCTCACAACTCCCAGCATAAAACCCTTGTGTTGTAATTTATACACTATTCATATGTTACTCACATATAGTGTACTCTAATATAATGAATACTTGAAAATTGATTCAATAACAACGTCATCTTTATAATATCCCCTGTTTCAACCTGAACGCTTTTAGTGTAAATAATACCTGTTTGCAATTGGAAAATTGAATGGTATATTGTGTTGACCGGAGGTTAATACAATCGCTCCTATAAAGTAAATAATTAATTAGTTAATTAAGAGAGAGAGAGAGAGAGAGAGAGAGAGAGAAAGGTGTAAATTATATGCTATTTTCCTACCATTTTGGTGACAAAACTCTTGTTTGAGATGTTTGTCCTTATTATGAAACTTGTCGATCACAGTCTCGGTAGTGGTCTCGCCCTCGTCGTTAGTTTCGGTCACTTGCCTTTCCTCAGTCCACTCGCATTCAGCCCTACCCCGCAGTTTGATTTTCAATTGATCAAGCTGCATTTTCCCATCTAACCCGATTATACACTGACCGCTTATCACGTCCGATGTCCGGTATATGGCATCCGGTTTGTCCAAAATGATGGCAAATGTTTTCAATTTGATACCCATTTTGAAGTGGAAATTGTGTTTAACTTTCACTACAATTAATAACTAGTAGTTTTTAATTTTATGTTATAATATATACTTTACTGTATTTATAAATGAAAACAATGCAATAAAATAATTGTCGGTTAAATAATCTCAGATTTCTAATGTTTCATAATAGAAATGCAATAGAAATACATTGATATTAAAAAATAAGATGTTAAACAAGATTTTATGACAATGTTAGATTGTTTTATCTTTAACCGCAACAAGATTTATATTTTATTGACAATAAAACTTTAATGTAAAGACCATGATAACAATACTGATTACTATAATATTACAAATAGACGTGTAACAAATATATTTCTTACCGTGTAACAAACTTTATGGTTTTATTGCCATGTTATATTATTGTGTTAAATACACTTTATCACTTGTCAAAAATATAAATTACATAAATATAATAATTTATAAAAAAAACTTACACTTAATGATTATGGAACAGTGAGTTTATTAAATGAATTTATATAACCATGTTAAATGCAATATAGATGAATGCACTTACTAGTTAGATTTATTTTGATATTAGTTATTATTTTGATTCTTATATTGAATTGTGTAAATAAAGTTATTAAATGATAACACATACAATGTAAATTAAGTTTGCATTAACTTCTAATATTAATAGACTAACTAGAATCTAATTAGATTCTAGTTACTAGATTATATGTATAACAGTGAATAATGTACAGTATTATATTTTAGTTTAGTGATTGGTATAACAACATTATCCTATTATTAGATACAACGTCACGATAAACGATAAAATCTACAAATAAAATAATAATAAATTCATAAATATAAAATACTTAATAATATTATAATATAAAATACTTGATATCCGCGGAAACTGTTTATAATAAATAGATTCAAACAATAAAATCCAATTTTATGTCCGGCAATATGTTCTGTATTATTCAATATCTATTTTAACAACAATTATAAGTTTTTAATTAATTTTTAAAGAGAGAGAGAGAGAGAGAAAATTTTACCTTAATTTTTAAATTTCTTGTTATTAGTTTATTTCTTGCGATGAATGAATTCAATACAATATAAGTCTTATTTACTTGGATGTAAAGTGCGGACGAAATATGGATTATAAATAATAATATTAATAAGTAATAAGTTGTAGCAAATGATGAAATTAGCATGAACAATGTATCATCATGTTTAACTACAATAAGATTTGAAAAGTAGGTAATTATTGTACTCATAGACATCCAAATTGCACACAAAAACTTTGACCAAAATATACGGTTATATGCATTGATTTCAGCATAAATTAAATTTAAACTATGCATACATTTTGAGAAAAACAAATTATTATTTTTATTGAAATTGGTTAATTTTCTCCTATACGCTTCATTTATGACCAAGAGTTTGCATTTTAAATAATATGTTATTATAAAATAATATAACAATTGATAGCTAATTATACTCAGCAACTGTAGCGCCCAAATAGTAGTGTGAATTACTTGTGGCAAACCAATCATGATAAAATATTTTGTATTATTAATTAAGTAGAAAATATTGAAATGAAATATAAACGCAGCCACTGTACCTTCCATGGCATAGAATCTAGCTAATTTTGATAATTTATTATATCTGTTACATAATTTGCTAACCAATAGCCGATCAGTAATACCAATACTTTTGGGTGAAATAAAACCCGAAATCATTTGAAATACTCTCAAATCCGTTGGTTTTATACCATTTCTATAGTTATAGTAATGTATTGCTTGCGATGCCATTGATAACAAACTTAACGTGGTCTGTACTATATTTACAGCGTACCTCGATGATAAAAAATAATCATTATTAGCCAGACATAAATTCATTACATCTGACACTACAATATCGTTATATTGTAATAGTATTGAAGTCAAACATTTTGCAATCATTAATAAATTAACACTAAATACAAACAATGGATGATAAATAAAATGCCGTTTAGTTATATTGTAATGAGTGTTAAATAGGGATAAACCGATTCGGTAGAGATGACTGTCCGCAGCTTTTACCCGCAATTCCCATGGTATGGGTTTTGACAAATCTACAATATTACTTTTGTTTACTGAACTCATATTTTTCTATATAAATGTAACGTTAGTCAATGTTATGTCAATGTCAATAAGATACACAAAACAATTTCAACGGTTAATCTAACAAGTAAGATAATACTTTAAACAAAATGTATCATTGTAAATAAAAGTTATTTAGGAGTAGACTGTGTTTCTAGTTGAATAGAAATTGCATGTGACTGATATATATTTTTCTAAGATTAAACTGACACTACACGGTTGGAAATGTAAAATAATTGTTATGCTATTTTATATAGGCTGCTGTTTTGCATGAATGCACAGGTGCAAATTGAACCAAACTTTATAAAACTATAGTTTTGTTACGCAATAGTCTATACTTAAATTATAATACTAATTTTAAAGTTTCTATTTAAACTTTATATTACTCTCATCATGGAAACATTTGAATGCTATTTTTAAAAATTTTATACTAATAATTATAAAAATAATTTATACTAGAAATGATAACTTTACTTATTTTCAATAAATAATTATTTAACTGACATTTAACTATAATTATTTTGCACTACAATATCGAGGACAATAAGTATTAAAATAAATGTATTTTTTGTAATTATAAATTCAAAATAATATTATATTTAACGACATATGCTTCCTGAATGTGTGATAATTATTATTTTATTATTTAAAATTAGGCATGTGTATTATACCCAAATAATAATTAATTATCAAATGCCTATATATAACTATTAATTTATTTTAAAAAACAAACCGTTCAATATTATTATATAAATTTCTCAACGACATAATAATAAATATAATATTATATTTAACAAATTTACCTATGATAAATTATTTATATAAAAAACACTTTTGTCATGCAACTGGTCGTTTCTTATAGAGTGGTTTACTGTATTTTTGACTATGCATAATCTATGACCATGCTAAAATTATGAGACATTGAATTAAAATATGTTCTTATAAATGTTATTAAATATATTTATAGAAATTTATTTTAATTTTTGTCGGTTTTTACATAAGTGCTAAATTTATTATTTTTAACAATAATATTTTTGTCTGGCATTTGCTATAATTATTACTTTTATTAATTTTTATATATATTAAACATTATTTTATAATATTATAATGAATTATTATGATCATTATTTTAATTGTGTTACATTGTTCATGTGTATAATAACTAATTATTATTACATTATATAATTAACAAAAATTACAAATATAGCAAATTATGTAAAAACATGTTGTGATGATTACCATTAACAGAATATTTATAAATTATCCTTGGGTAATTTTTAGATATGTTACGTATAATTTATACGTAATTTATACGGTATAAAATTATAGAACATTTAATAATATTAATTTTAGTTGCAAATCTATTATTTTATAATTATTATTACTATATTTAACTTTATTAATTACCAAATTATAAATTGCTTGTAATACTGAATTTGTAATTGTTTTATTTAAATAGTTTTAATAATATTGCAAAAAAGTAATTAATAATATAGAAACTCACAAAGTTTTATGTAAATCATGTTTAAACTAAATAAAGTTACATACCAAAACACAGTTACTTGAGTGAGATATAAGCATCAAGCAATTTTTAAATATAGTATTATAATGCATGATATAATCTGTAAATAAATAAAATGTAAATTATTATAAAATACATTTAATAATTAGCTAGATTAAGTGTATTAATAAATACTAATTATTAATACAAACTTCATATCCTTGAAAACTATTTATAATAAATAATTTCCAACAATAAAATCCTATTCTATGTCTGGCTATTCGTTCCGTTGTATTCAATATCTAATGTTTAAAAACAATAATAAAATATTTAATTATTTTGAGAGAGAGAGAGAGAGAGAGAGAGAGAGAGAGAAAACATTATTTTTACCTTAATTTTTAAATTTCTTGATATTTGTTTGTTTCTTGCAATGAATGAATTCAATATAATATAAGTGTTGTTCGCTTCGATATAAAGTGCGGACGAAATATGAATTATAAATAATAATATTAATGAGTAGTAAATTGCAGCAAATAATGCAATTATTATAAATAAAATATCATCATGTTTGACCACTATTAGATGTACAAAGTATGTAATTATTGTGCTCATAGACATCCAAATTGCACACAAAAACTTTGACCAAAATATACGGTTATATTCATTGATTTCAGCATAAATTGCATTTAAATTATGCATACATTTAGATAAAGACAAATTATTAATATTTTTATCAAAATTTGTTAATTTATTCTTTAATGCCTTATTTATTACCATGAGTTTACATTTTAAATAATATGTTATCATAAAATAATACAACAACTGATAGCACATTATGCTCACTAAATATAGCGCCCAAACTGTAATGTGAATTACTTGTGCCAAACCGATCATGATAAAATAATTTATATTATTTATCATGTAGAAGCTATTCATATGAAATATAAAAGCAACTACTGTTCCTGATACAACAGATAATCTAGCTAATTTAGATAATTTGCGATTCATATAACATAGTTTGCGAACCAATAGTATATCAGTAATACCAATACTTTTGGGTGAAATAAAACCCGAAATCATTTGAAATACTCTCAAATCCTTGGGTTTTATACCATTTCTATAGTTATAGTAATGTATTGTTTGCGATGCCATTGAAAGCAAACTTAACGTGGTTTGCACTATATTGACAGTGTATTCGGTTGATAAAAAATAATCATTATCAGCCAATAATAAATGTATAACATCTGATACAACAATAGTGTTATATTGTAATAATAGTGAAGTAACACATTTTGAAATCATTAAAAAATTGGCAATAAATATCACTAATGGATTATAAATGAAATGCCGTTTAGTTACAGTATAGTTAGTGTTAAATA